AAATGTAATTTTGTTAATTTAAAAAAAGCAAAAAGAAACAGAAAACTTACAATACCTTTTTAACAATTCCATTGTTCGATTCCAGGTCTGATTTCGACCATTTCCGTTTTCCTAGTGCAACATTTCCAAGAATTTTTGATTGATTTAGTCGCCGCTGGGCGCAAACACAAATGGATTCGTCATTCATTTGCTTAACATAAAATTTGTATATTATTTTCTTGGTTAATTCTGTTCGGGATATAATATAGTTAGCTTGATTACGTACTTGTATTTACTTACAGATATAATTATGACTATACATATGAATTATATACACACATATATACAAATTTATATATACACATATGCTATGTACATACATATATATACAAAACTTTTGTGCCACAATTTGTTTGCTCTCAGTGATGATCATCGCGGTGCTTTCTGTTAGAATCTTTTTAAATGTTCCCTGGCCCATACAAACGTGCATATTTACATTTATTTGAGGTGCTCTCTACTCTCTCTCTCTCTTTCTCTCGCTCAGGCGCTCTTTTGTGTTCGGTATAAATTCTTGTTGTTTATACTAAAAATATCACTGTGTGCGTTTTTTGTTGTTGTACGTACATATATACATATAAACGTGTACATATATAAAATATATATGTATTTTATATATATATATATGTATACTTAAACCCATAGTCTTCTTGCTTATTCTTACAATGTGCTTTATGTCTCAATGCACCAAAAAGATTACTGCTCTCTGCAGTTCTAACATGTTAAAAAAAAACTGTTTATAACAATTAAGTTTCTTCCATTATTTTTTTTATATATTTTTTTTCGAATTTTGTATAGGCGCAGTTCAAAGAAATTATTTAGTTAATTTATTATTATATTAAAATAATATAGATTGAAAGTTATTTTAATATACATATATTATATAATACATATATGTTGTATAGTTATATAAACATCTCGTAAAAGAAATATTTACCAGAATTTTAGACGAACTTTTTAGTTTTTACTTCTATTGACTTTGGCTTTCAGCACACGATGGACAAACGACGCAACACCTTGGACCGATTTCAACGTCTGACTTTTGGGCGCAAAGCAAAACCAACAGCTTCCGCTGAGGCTGCCTCTCCAGAGACCTGCAGGGCATCCAGTGTAGACAAGCAGCGCAATAGTTCTGAACGATCGGAGCGTCTCAAAGAACTGACGGAGCTTTTGCGTGGTGGTGGCAACAGCTCACGTGCCTCCTCGACGCCCACACCGCCGCCCGTGCCGCCGCCACGCAAGCCCCGCATACCTCACAATAGTTCGACAGCGAGCAGCATTGAAATTCCGGAAAGTCAGCTACCTGGGGGCTCGGAAGACTCCGACGCAGCCATGACGGGCCACTTGCAAAAGCAGAGCGGCACAAACAACAACAAGAGTGGAAGTGGAAGTGGAAGTGGCAATGCCAGCGTGCCTGCTACAGCCGCACGACTCTTGCACTCAATGAGACCAAACGCGAGTCTCTCCAATTTGGAAGCTTTCGTGCTGTGCACTCGCGAGAAATCCAAATCACCGCCGCCCCTGGCAGTAGGCGACGAGGTCGACGCAACCAGTAGCGAGTGGCCTACGCAGCTGTCCACAGCAGAGTCTCGCACTGGAAGCAGCCCCAGCACCCAGAAAGGAATATCGGCGTTTCGCTCAGTATCGTTCTCACAAATTGACTGTAAATCAACCCTAAGTGCGTTGCGCGATCGGCTGCGGCGGGACAAGGCCATTGAGGCCCCCGTTCCGATCCAAAGGGACACCAAAATAATAGAGTCTTTGGATTTTCCGAGCGTAAAGCCCGATCCGGGCTGGGTGCACATACCGCTCAAGAGCACGGGCCTATCGATTAACCTGAACTACGGCCAAGAGAAGTCGCTGGAGCACGTTCTAGAAGATGTGCCGGACATCATAAGCGAAGAAGATATATTCAATACAGACAACTGCAGTGCCACGGGCATATTACCAGCGACTGCCAGCAGTGTCATCGCGGCACACGCCAAAATGGAGTCGCTATCGGATACAGTACATTCGGAGGGCGAATACAATGTCAACAAGGACTGTGTGACTGTGGTTACAGAGGCGCCTAATGTAGTGGAAGCCCCACTCGTAAGCACGGAACTTAGTGTATCGGAAGTTAATGAATCCGAAGTTAATGAATCTCAAGTTGATGCATCGCTAGCTAATTCATCGGAGGTTGGTGACTCGCAAGTTAGTGAATCGCAAGTTAATGAACCAAGTTCGGATAACGTGGATGAGCAGCCGAAGGCTGACTCTCCGTCATCTAATATTTTGCAAACAGCCACCACTTGCCTAATACCTGTTCCGGTCTATGAGTGTGCCTCACAAGAGTGGCTGGAGACACCCGCTCAAGAATGGGTTGAGCTGGCACCAGAATTCGGCATTGTGCCCGAGACAATGCAGCCGCCCGTTCCGCATGCGGCATGCAAAGTAATGCAAACAGAGACACTAACGACTTTGCCCAGCAATTTGTTGCCAACAATATCGGTGAGTCGCAGCTCTGAGGAGGGTGACGAACAGAGGAAAGACATAATCTTATCGCCGGCAGAATCAATATCGGATCGGCTCAGTGCGCTCGATTCAGTTGACGATCAGCGCCAGCAAGAAGATCTTGATGCAGAGCTGCAGAGCTCCGACGCAATTGCAACGCCGCGCCACAGCACTGGGGAACGTCAAAAGCGCCACTTGGACAAATCCACGAAGCGTAAGGGAATGTACATAGATAATTCCGATTGGCACCAGCCAGTAGTGGAGCCGCACCGTGGCCTAGCCTTAGATTTGTCTATTGTCAATTTTCAAGCGATTAGCCCTGATTCGCCAGACGATTCGCAGGTTGACACCAACAGTCCCGACATGTTTGTAGCGCATACGCCAGAGCTTGAGAAGGGTTCGCCCTTGTGGAGAAGATCCAGTGACCGGACGCAGCTATTGAGCAGCTTCAGCTGTCAGAGCAGCGAGGAAAAGGACGATGCCGTCAGCAATAGCAACAGCAAAAACAGCATTCTGCACACTGACTCCATGTCGGATACCGAGGAACGCATCAGCTGGAGTCCAACGCCCAGCGGAGACTACGAAAGCAAGCGCTATTCGAAGCGACCGCTCACGGTGCGCGGTCCGTACGGCCAAATGATGGAAGCCGAGCTGAAGAAGCCGAATCGCAAGCAGTACGACGAGATTCTGGAGGAAATGCGCGAGAGTGATAGGTAAGTAACAGCTACTGTCATTGCTCCTGTATATCAACTTGAATGGGGATTCTTTCATAGGCTCCACCCACGTCGCGAGCACAGCGTAGCCGAGAGAAAGCCTTCGCTTGGCTCCACGCGCAACAATATGCCGCAGTACTCGAACTCGATGCGTGTGCGGAAGTCGAGTGCGTATTTGCCAGTGCCCACCCATGCCCGGGCAGCCTCGACTCCTTCGCAAATCGAGCATGCCAACAAGCCCACTTCGCAGTCCAGCAAGGATCTGAGCGAGACGATATCGATGGCTGAGAAGCAGTCGCAGCACCAGATCAAACGAGCCGCCTCCGAGGCGCCCACAACGAAAACGCATCATAGCAAGCGCAATCTGTCAATGACTAATGAGAGCAAGAGTCCGCATCATCACAGCCATCACCATTCAAAGCGGAGTCTCGACGAGGGCAACAGCAGCGTCAGCAAATCGAAGCAGTCCCATACCGCTGGCGTCCCGCCCACGGCAGCCTTGCTGGCGGAGCTGCTGAAGGGCTCCAGTGAGAACATGATTTCCGAGCAGCGCCAGAAAATGATTGCGGTAAGTAATGTGATGCACATCCATTCCACATGTGAATCACCTGCCAAATACCTTTAAATTTAAATTATTCGATACAATTATCTGATTATTTGCTGTGCTGTCGCCACTCTTTGATCTGCGTCTATGAAGCTCTCATAGTGGTTCTGTTTTTGTAATCTCAAAATACTATGGTCAGTATATAAATTGGGAATTTAAATATACACACACACACACACATATGTATATGGAAGGCTCTCGCATATGTACATGTGTGCATACATACAAACATGTATGAGTCTTCTATGGCTTGCAGAGCGTTCGGGAAAATGATTGGAAAATGCGAAAATTCGTGTCTGCGCATGCTCCAACAAGTAATGCGCGCTGGAAATGTGTCACTGTGTTAGAAGAGAGCCTCTGAAGTTTATTTCATCTCTTTGTTTCGCATCGTGCACCGTGGTTAGGGCTAGAGCTTATGGGGTTTATTTTATTTGGAGACTTGTTACATAAAAAATATCAGATTTTGTGTACAAATATTTAA